GGACATACTACACATGTAGAGAAATACTCCTTGCTTTAACTGATTATACAGAGAAAGATCCAACGAAAAAGAAGCATGGGGAGGCGTAGAATGTCATGACTGCGCAAACTAAGAGAGTGGTACGGATATACATCAAATGAACTTTTCAGAGCAGCCGTCTCAAAAGTCCGAATACCTATGATGATTGCCGACCTCCACCGTAGAGATGGCACTCACGTTCTTCTGGTGGTGAAAGGGTTAAAAATAATAACGTACAATCTATTAGGGGTCAATAGACCAAATACATTAGGCCATCTGAAGGTCGCAGTTTACCATAAATATCTAAGAATGACACAAGAACAACCAACTATGCATGCCATTAACAAAGAATTAGAGAATATTATAGTTAATTTTACAACCGTGTACTTTATAAAATATCGTAATTGACTTCTCAGCTAATGGATATTGTAATTAACAGAATTGAAAGTGGCTGTTTCTCCTTGACTTAATATTGACAAAGACGATATAAAAAAATTATAAAGTAGGCGCTAGTTTTTAACTGCAACTATGCAATCTACGGTTAATTTATTTGTTAATTTTTATAGTCGGCCGAATTTCTATGTAAATATCGAATAGTTTTTAAATAGATAGTAGGTTTATTGTTATTTTTTTAACGGTGCAATAATACATTTACTTATTGTTATGTGAAGATGGTTGGCTCTGTTACTTACGGAGTACCAGAAAAGCTATAAAACTTTAGTAACAGTATTATGTATATGCTTAACTGTAGCTTGCAAAGTATTTTACTCTTTTGTAATACCGCGATACCCTGACTTTATTTGAATTTTCTAGAACAGTTTCTAAAATTTGTCCTGTACCTTTTCATCTAATTTACATACCGATGCACGTCATCGGCGTCATAGCCCGTGACGTCACATGATACCAACACGAAATATTTAGTCGGTAGGTGTGTTCTTTTTTAGAATCACTTTGGCATCACAGCCACTAGACATATTTTATTATATAAGGTACACCGGGGTAAGAGGAACCTAAAAAATCATTAATTTCTGTTTAAGGCCTTCTAAAAAATTTAGTTATATATGCACTCTATTAGGTTACCGACAGGTAAGAGTTACACCATTTTCTAATACGAATGCGGTGTTAAAACATAAAAAAAAACTTTAAAGAACTTTTTTCTAACAAAAACTTTCAATTATGTGACATGGTTTCCACTTGCCCCACATTTTCTACATGGCAAGGGGCAAGTGGAAACCTATCCGAATTTATATATTGAATTCAATGCAAATCATTCTGGGGCAAGTAGAAATAATAAAAAACCATTTCTGAATACATTTGTAATAAAAGTTTAAAAAAAATATGGTTATTAGCGAACATTATAGTTGTTTAGAGAAATAGGAAACGAAATTAAAGCTTGTTGCCTTTTTGTAAGCTGGGAAAAACTTAATGGTTTTGGCAATACTAATTCAATTTGGAACTTAAATGCGACTGATATGTCTGGTAGGTTAGGAAAATAATATTTTCCGTCATTTTTTATGCATTTTCGAAGGCAACTAACTTTAACTTCAGTATCAAAACACTGCAAAATTTTAGCGACATAATAAATATAATTTGAGCCTCCTTTAACTGGAAATTGCATTAATACGAAATCAGCGGGCATAGCCGCACGATGTAACTCTTCTTCGATGGGAGGGGTTAGAACCCCTAATATATCAATATCGTCGTCGGAATCTGATCTCATCTCAATGAAAGCTTGGTCATCATCACTGCTGTCAGATTGTGTTTCCTTCTTCTTTATCCTTTTCCTTTCCGTTTTATTGGATTTTACGGTCTTTTTGTCTTGTTGTATCTTCATTTTTGCTAAATAGTCAGTGTGTGTTATGATCTCAGCGCCAGAACAGATTTTCTTAAGCTTTTACTGGTTTGATGGGGATTGTTTAACATGTTCGAGTCAAATAATTTCGAAGGAATTTCTTTTAGGAAGCCTTTTTAAAGCATGATTGTGATTATGATTTTGAAGATACTGTTTGTATTGTAACACAGTACTTCTGACCAAGTGTGTTGCTTGGCTGCCACTGGTATTTTCCGACATTTCTTCTTGTTGAGGGGTATCACCAGGGTCATTCCTATTTCTCACTAATGATGCCTTCTTAGAGTTATGATATTGAAATCTTTTGAAAGCCTCAGGTTCAAATTTTTCAACAGGAATCACTGCGTTACAGAATGGGTAAATACCGGCCTTACTAAAACCACTTCTAATATGGTTTGAACTCAGCTCCTTCCATACTTGTGAAATTATAGATGAAAATATGGATTTCGGTAACTTTGTACCGTAATTTCTTCTTTGCCATTTTATAAGAGCTTCATCGTACATTTGTTTTAAAGGCTTGAACACAGCCAAATACATTGGCTGTAGGAGATGGCTAGTAGGTATGTGGCGGTAGTTTTAAAATAATTATGTCTTCCCTTAAAGCAGTTTCTATAAGGGCAATTGATGTGTGTGAAGAGTGACTGTCATAGATCAGAACAACGGGTCTCTCTTTAGGAATATTCGAAATTTTTTTGAAAAGGAGAAGCTACATGTTGTATAGAAGCCGGAGACAGAATGAAGATTCTGTCTCCGGCTTCTATACAACATGTAGCTTCTCCTTTTCAAAAAAAAAAAATTAAAGTGTCTTTGTGTATTGTATTTTGTATTGTTATGTCCAAATTTTACATTTATGACATTCTACTCATGTCGGATAGGCCACAACTGACGAAATGCCCCTGAAGATGATCAATTGATCGAAAGTACTTGGGCAAGATTAAATTAATCACCGTGTTCGATAGTTGCCTTGTATACCGTCAAAGTCATATAAAATTTCTTCTGCAACACAGGCTATATGTCATGAACACTTATTTTAAAAAACGTCCTCAAAGAAAGTGGAGTCACTAAATGGTTTATACAAGAACGAAATTGACTTTATATTTACTAACAAAAAAGACGCTGTTCAAGACGTAACTATATTAAATCCATTTTTAACCGGAAGTGACCATAGAATGGTAAGAGCAAAGATAGTCTTGAACGTAAAGAAGGAATGAAGAAATATGTATTAAAAATGTCACATTCACTGATATTACTAACACAAGGGCCTACCAGGAAGAAATAGAGAGTAACCTACAGAAAGACGTGCCACATGAAACAAATATTGAACAGCTTAACGAAATGTTAGTAGACGTCCTAAAGAAGGTACCGAAGTGCCAAGCCAAGCAAACAAGCAAGCATGAAAAACTCACAGAAGCTACAAAAAAACTTAATAAAAAAAAGGGAAATGAAATATAAATATAAGGAAGTTTAACACTAAAGAAACAGCTAATACCATAGAACAAAACAAAAGTCTAAAAATTCTAAAACGAAAATTGAAGACAGGAACAAAGAATATTTATAAGTTAGAAAATAAACATGGACTTGCCATATATGAACAACAAGAAATCCTGAAAATCATCGAGGAGTACTACAGACCATTGTGCAATCGAGATGATCACATTCCAGAGCTAGAAATCACAGCGATTCAAAATCAAGGATCAAAGGAACTCCCGGATATACTCCAAAAGCTTTAAAAACTCTATAAAAATATCCAAAAAATATCATATCCTTACATTTTATTTTTTTATTTTTAATACTAATAGCCTTCTGTTACAGCAGCCATATGCAGCGCCAATACAAAACAAAAAAGTAGAGTGAATTCTGATCAACAGAATAGGCAGAAAAGCTGTTCAGCAAAAAGGCCCTTCAGGTTGGTCAAAACTACCAAGTTCGCGGAACTTAAGCATTGAGGTCACATACTGACAAACGTGGGCTAGATGGCCAGACCCTTTGTTATCAATAATCCACAATTTTCAATGGATCGCCCGATTGGTTAACCGAGGAGCTCGGATAACCAAGGCTCGGATAATCGAGAGTCTACTGTATAACAGAAATTGAAAACTACAGACCTGTCACATTGTTATCTCATTTATGTAAGTTCTTTATGAAAATAATTTCTAACATACTGGGAACTAAGCTAGATGTTCACCAACTACTAGAGCAAAGCGGATTTAGGAGTGGCTTTGAAACGAATGATCAACTACAAGTAATAAACTCCTTGATGGAGATAAAGTTATAGATTACAAGAAGCCATTGATATTAATATTTGCAGACTTTGAGAAAGCATTTAACTCAGTCCAGCATAGCTCCATGTTAAGAGCTCTTACAGAGTGCAGTATTGATCATAAGTACACAACTCTTCTTCGAAATATATATAATAGCGCAAAAGCTGCAGTGAGAATGTACTAGGGCGACACAAACACATTTCCTTTGGATAAGGGTATTAGGCATGGAGACACCATCTCTCCTAAACTATTCACCGCTTTATTAGAGAGTGCATGAGAAACAATAATTGAGTTAATATTGGAATCACCATAAATGGGGAGTTTCTGAACAACTTAAGATTTGCAGACGACATAGTCTTATTGCAGACCGGGTAGATCATGTCTAAGACAATTAAATAACAAAGTTAAACATGAGAATAGGACTAACATAGGCATTTAGAAAAAAAATTGAGGGAATTATTAGTTTACATGGAAATATATGTAAACAAAACAAATCCCTAGTTCAATTTTGTTCAACAATCAAAACCAAAGATAGTGGAGAATGGGAATTGCTAAAATATCTTTGAAAGTCGGTGTGAAATTCTCTTATAATTTATAAAATCTAGATCCCGATGGGATTAGTTACAAATTAAGTTACTGCGATTAAAAAATCTAAAAATAAAAGTATATTTTTGTCATTATTTCTTTATTTCTTATTAAATTCTTTATTGCCTTAAAAGTAATATTTATTGTTAGAGTCCTACAGAAACCATTGCAAAAAAAGATTGAACAAAGTTATAATGTCGTCTGTAATTGATACGATTGTCATTTTATATTTTCAGAATTTCCAATGCATGTAGCTGCAGAAAAACAATAAAATAAATACAACTCACCGTCACTTTCATTATTCCTCATGAAATTTCTCCAAAAACCAAAACAGAATATTACTTAACGTCTATTATTTATTCCGAAAGAGTAGTCAAGCGAAACGATACTGCACAAAATCAACCGTAAAACAGAAGCCGCCAAGAATCTCTTCGAAAAACTTTCACAGTACTGTCTTACATGACCTGGAAACTAGAACTGATACCAACACCAAGAAAGGTAGAACTTACGTTGTACGTTCTACAATGAGGTCCCCACTTCTTAGTAGTCATCGACTTTGGTGTTAATTCTTTATTCCTCATTAGGTATTGACAGTTACGTAAAGTGTAAACAGTAATTTTCTTATTCTAGATTTTCATGCACTAAAACAAACAAATTGGAAACATACACAGTTCAATATTGTGATTTCCCAGATGCAAGATGATTTTAAATTAAGAGATATCTTAAATCCATTCAGGAGAGATTGGTAAACTTAGATAATGAAATATCTCAAGAGTGGTTGAATTTAGGTATACCGAAGGAATATCGATACCAAACAAATTGGCTTAAAAAAATACAGCGGAAAATGTAATAAAGTACAGGGTGTTCTATTTAAAGTAAGCAACTTATAAATGATTTAAATTGTGCATGTTGGTGGTTAAGTTTAAAACACCCTGTATGAAATATCAATGAGTTGGATATATAACGTTAACGGGCATGCGCTTGTTGTTGAAAATAAAATAAAAAAAATATTAGGTTTTGAGTGATTTTAAAGGACCGATTTGAAAATAGGAAACAGCTGCGATAGTTGGACAATATATACAAAAATATGTCAATGGTAATAGTACGCGTCTTATAGAACTGTGCCAATACTTCGTAATGTTAAGTAGATTAAAAAAAAGCAGAAAATGCGCATTAACCATTAATTTTATTGAACAATTTAGAATGAATTCGTTGAACCTAATGAAAAATAATAAGTTACCTAGTCCTGGAGGTATACTCATGGAAATGTTTAAATATGCACCTAATATTTATAGTTCAAAAGATCTAAAATGGAAGTATTTTTGAAGTGAAAAATTTTAATTCCTAGCTGAGCCCTTTCGGCTTATAAAGCCATCTTTAGAGCCATGCTACAATAGAACAATAGTGTAAATAACTAATTTTAATCTAACATTGATTCACTGGCGTCAAATATTAAAGTATTATAGTAGTGTGCATAACGGGAGTTAAACATACCTTGTCGCGTAAAGGTGGCTTCGTTCGTAAAAAGAATGCATTTAAAAACATTTGACCTGAAGGCTGTCATCATCATCATCATTGGCTTTTACAACTCTTCGTGAGTTTTTGCCGCGTTTACTATTGCCTTCCATTGATTCCGATCCTGTGCTATTATTTCCCATGGCCTTACTTCCATCTTCTCCAGGTCTTCCATGACTGCATCTTTCCACCTTTTTCTAGGCCTTTCTGTCGATCTTTTACCAACTGGTCTTTCCCAAAACACATTGCTAATCAGTCTGTCATCATCACTTCGTACCACGTGGCCTGCCCATCTTAATCTATTGGCTTTTATGTATCTTACGATGTTTCCTTTCCCGAAGAGAGTCTCTATTTCATTGTTGTATCTGCTCCTCTATTCATTTGTCACGCTATCCCTGCAAGGACCATATATAATTCGCAGGATTTTGCGTTCCCATACTAATAGCTTATTGATTTCTTTCTTTCTCAATGTCCATGTTTCACTTCCATAAGTCACTGCTGGTCGTATTATGGTTTTGTACATTTGGATTTTGGCACGCCTTGAGAGAAGCTTTGACCTCATTACATGTTGAATGGCAAAGAATGATTTATTCCCCGCCAGTATTCGTATTTCAACCTCCCGTTCTCCTGTGTTTTCACTGGTAATTGTTGCTCCTATGTATTTGAATTCTTTGACCACCTCAAAATTATGATCGTTTATGGCAATGTTTTGTCTTATTCGCTAACTAACCTCAAGTTTTAACTTTGTTTAGGCTTACGCCTCTTCAAGGAACGGGGAACTCCTTTTTTTTGACGGAGTTGTGGTGGTTACGAGATAAAACGTCAACTGATCGAAACGCGGCCTAAGAAGCAGAGAACTGCTAAGGAAGAAGGGGGAAAAGAAGGTGGCTTATTTGTGATCAATAAGAATCGAGAACGCACAAGAAGTGGGATTGCCTAGCATGCAGTGAGGTACTTCAGGGTTACCAGCCATACAGTAGGAACGGCTCTTTATCAGCGTTTTTGGTGCGCAGTTTATCTGCGATAGTAGATGGGGAAAGATTCTAAAATATCAAAATACTCCTCAGGAAGTTCATGTCCAGCGTTATGTAGAAGTTTAGCTGGAGGGAATGGAACTTTTTTTACGGGGTGCCTGGTGAGTATTTGCCCTCTATGTGAACAAGGTGTCTTTAATGTTTGTTTTGCTCGGTTGTTCGAGCCAGCTATGGTTCTTAAGACATACTTCCTACTGAGGGTTAGGATTCTGTCCTTAATAGGCGTGATGTTAGCTATTGCATATATGTGGGCCGATGGATACAGCCAGTCTTTTCTCATGCAGAAACGTAGTATTTTACGCTCTGTGGCGGTGATGGCATTGAGTTCGTGGTTCCTCAGAGAGAGGTAAACGCATGCCTTGTATTCGACAATCGGTCTGATAAAAGTCTTGTAGGTGTGCAACAATGTGTTAGTGGACGTTCCTCCTAGTTTACCGGCCAACACTTTCAGGAGGTTGAGCCTCTTTCTCATCCTGTCAAGGGATTCTTGGACGTCAGAATTCCAGTTGAGAGTTCTCGTAAAACGAACTCCCAAGTAGAGAACTGAGTTCCTGAGAATAAGGTCCTCTCCCAAAAGTGTCACGCGGCCCTGAAGCCGCGTCCGTATGGGGGTCTGAATAGGATTGCTTGTGTTTTGGAGGGGTTTAAAGTAACCCTCCATTTGTTGCACCACCTCACGACTCTGTCAAGATAATCTTGCGATTTCTCGAATACAGACCGTCAAATAGCAAATAGGAGGAGAGACTCTGTTCCTTGCTGTGGGCGGGGGATGTCGCTATTGTATACTGTGTATAATATTGGAGCAAGTATTGAGCCTTGGGGCACTCCTGCTTGAGGAGTGAATGGAGTGGAAAGGTGCTCTCCTATTTTGATCCGAACCGTCCGATGAGAGAGATAGGAATTTATTAGTTTAACGAAAAGTATTGGCAGTCCAGCAAGGTGGAGTTTCTCGATCAAGCCTGCGTGCCAGACTTGATCGAAAGCATTCTGGACATCGAGGAAAATGCCTACGACGTGCTTCCTTTCGTTAATGGATTGAGAAATGAAGGTTGTTGCTTCAACCAATGCATTTTGTGTGGAGTGTCCAGCCCTGAATCCCAATTGGTAGTTTGGAATGAGGAAGTGAGCGTCTAGGAATTCTACGAGTCTCTCCTTGAGGATCCTCTCGTAGACTTTACCTAGGGTGCTCAGTAACGAAATTGGTCTATACGATTCAGGGTTGGTAAGGGTTTTCCCTTTTTTAGGGACCATGACAGTGCTGGCCACTTTCCAAGGAATAGGAAAGAAATATTCGCTGTCGTTCCTTTTTTAATACGACCATGTATTTAGTTTTTTCTTCGTTTCTTTTCAGGCCTACGCTTAGTGTTGCTTCTTGAAAGTTCGATACTATATCCTATACCTGAAGGCTGTTTTTTTCTTCAATGTTTCACAAAATCTACTCTAACCGATAGATCGTCTGGCAAAAGCTCTTGGAGTTATGATAAGGATGTAGCTGCTGTTCTTTAAGTATTTGGGAAAGAACATATTTGTGATTTTTGTCGATAGTTATGTGTATTATTAGTTTTAGAACCCTATATATCTATCTACACATCCCTTGCTGTCCAATTTTGGACACAGGCCTCCTCTTCGTTCTTCCTCGTCTCTCTATTGTAGGCAGTTTGTATCCTGTTTGTTAGTATATGTTCGGGCCTGCGTGTTTCTTCAAGTCATCTGACCATCTCATTTGTGGCCTTCCTCTTTTTCCTTTGTAACTATATGATCTCCAGTGTATAATCATCTTATTACATCTGTCGTCTTTCTGTCTTATGGTATGTCCAGCGAACTTCCACTTAAGTTTATCAATTTATCAATTATCAATTTTATCAATTTTTGTTTTGTTGCGGATCCAAGTATTTCTTTTCTTATCTGATAGCCTGATGTTCAGCATTTGCCTTTCCATGGCTATTTGGGTCTTTGCTATTTTTTCCATATTTTCCTTTGTAAACGTCCAACTTTAAGAACCGTGGGTGAGAACGGGTTGATTGAAGACTCTTGTTTTTAAATATTGGGGGTATTTTCTATTTTTTAGTATATAGAAAAGTTTCCCGAAGAATACCCAAGCCAACCGTATTCTTCTCTTTATTTCTTCGGTCTGATTTTCTTTATTTAATTTAACTAGTTGTCCCATATATACATATTCTTTTACTTGTTCTATAGTTGTTTGTGCAATTGTAATTATTAATTCTTCTGGTTAGTTGGTCATAATTTTCATTTTATTATAATTGATTGAATAGTTTGGGTGATATAGTGTCACCCTGTCTGACTTCTCTTCGTATCTTAATTGGCTCCGTTTGTTCAACTATTTAAATGGATGTTGTTGCTTGATCATATATATTAAAAATTAAGTCCGTATATATATATAGTCTATTCTCCCATTTTGTAAAGAGTTCTTTACTACCCAATGTTCCACCTTATCGAATGCTTTTTCAAAGTCTACAAATGCCATATATATTGGGATTTGATATTCGTTGGCCGTTTCAATTAATATTTTTATTGTAAGCAGATCGTCGCTTGAACCGAATCCTTTTCTAAAACCGGCTTGCTCTCTTGACTGGTAATTATCTAACTTAGTTGTTAATCTGTTTTTGTTAGTAGTTTAGTTAACAGTTTGTACACTACAGTAAGTAGCGTTATGGGCCGATAGTGTTTCAGATCTTTTTTATCGCCTTTCTCAAATAGTAATAGTGTTATTGCCTCGTTCCATGTCGTGGGTATTTGTTTTGTGGTCAATATTTTATTCATTAGTACATAAAGGACTTCCACTGTAGTTTTCCTCTCATTTTTTAGCATTTTCACAGTTATTCCATCTTTCCCAGGAGATTTGTTATTCTTTATTTCTTTGAGTGCCTTTTTTATTTTATTTTTACTGATTTCTGGTTGTAGGTCAGAGTTAACGTTGTTTGGGTTGGTTTTTGTTCTGTTTTAAAGAGATTTGTATAATATTCGTGCGTTATCTGTCAAATGTCTTTTATATTCTTGGTCTCCACCCCTTCTTCGTTCTTTAGTATACTATTAATTTGTATGTTTCACAGGTTATGTTTTAAGCACTTCATTTTCATTTTTTTTTCAATCGTTTTCTCTATATTTTCTTCCTGTACTCTCAGTTTACACTGCTTGATATTTTTCTTAATAGTTTTGTTTATTTGTTTGTATTCCATTTTATTTCTGTCCCCTTGTTCTAGTATTGTTCTTCTTGTATTCATAAGAATCTTTGTTTCCTGGGATATGAAACTTTCTTTTTTTGTTGTTGTCTGTGCTATTTTTTTACTCACTTTCATTAGAGTTTCAGCAAATATTATGTTTATTTCATCGATTTTTGTGTTTTATATCTTCTTTGGTCGGCAATATTTCCTTTATTCATACGTCTGTTTTTCTTCTTTTAGTTTTTCCATGTTTAATTTCTGATTATTTTCCATTTTCTTTCTTGTTTCAAATCTACTATTAATGATCAGCTTGGCTCGGACTAGTCTATGGTCGCTACCAGTCGCTATAACCGCTGAGAAGCGGTTTAGGGCTGTTACCTACGTCTTTAACCATGGATTTTTGTGTTGAAAGAATCTAATCAATTTCGATTTTAGTTTCACGATTGGGACTAATCCATGTCCATTTTCTTTCGGGTTTTTTCTTAAAGAAAGTATTCGTTGCATATAGTTGCTTCTCCTTCAAGTAATTCATCAATGTGTGTCCTCTATCATTTCTTTTGCCGTATCCATGGTGTCCTACTTTGTCTTCTTCTTTATATAGTTGTTCTCCTATTTTGGCATTTGAAGTCCCCGATTATTAGCGTTAATTTTGATTTGTTTTCTTCCATAGCTGTTGTTATGTCTTCGTAGAAATGTTCAACATCTTTATGGCTGTAGGTACTTGTTGGAGCGTACACCTGTATGATTTTTAAGGACGTTCTTTTTAATTTAAGCGTCATGTATGCTACTATATCTGATATGCCCTTGGTAGATTGTATGTATTTAACTAGAACTAATTTAGAACCCTATACCTTCAATTTTTGTTGACCTTAGAATGAATCTATATCTTTTTGATGACGATGTGGATCAACTTTCAGTGAGTCCATATTATCATCTCATTTTCCGGCGAGCGAAAATTACATATTTTCAGAATTTTCTATTTCTTTTTGAGACTGTTTTCAGGACGTTAACTTCCTTAATAAATGTAGTCAATTATTAATCACACAAAGAGTTGATGTTTAATTTTTGTCGATCCCCAAAAAACTTTTGATAATAAATTCCAAATGGGGTTCCATATTACCAGCTTCTCCTCTATCTGTATGAGTTATAGACTGAGAAATTTTAACTCCGGTTTAAAAGTTCTCGACAGATTTGGTTATCAGATTTATACCTACCATTTTTTTTATATAACAATCAACTGTATCAATTACTACGGATATTAACGGAATTGGTTTCATTGCCTTTAGAAGGACTAGCTTGTATCATAACAACCGTTATACCTCGGGCGAATACCGATCTGATTGTGAATTTGTTTTAAATAAATTTCCTATTGCAGGCCATATTCGAACTTACGACTTCTGAGTTTTAAACTCAGTCAGTTTGTAAGTTAATGCTTCTAAAACTGAGCGACCAAAGCGTTTTACATACTTACTGCGTTTAGTTTTAATATTCTTAAAATTCAGTTCAGAACCAATTCATTTAAAAATCGGTAACTTCACATATATCTTGAAGAAGCGACAACAGCGGCCCGCTAGGTCATTAGGAATCCTAACCTCACACTATTATCAATTTGCCGTCTGTCAAGTCAGAGTAAATGTATTCTTTCTATTATTTTTTTATATAGCTTGACCTTAACAAAATCATGTTCTGTGTGTATGGTATGAGATAAATTATAGTTGTAATACTTACTTTTAAGATATTACTTTTATCCGCATTTTATATAAATAGTTATAAGGTAAGTCTTTTTCCTTTATATAAGATTAGTTGATGTTCTACCATGACCTTAGCCTTTATGTTTACAACTGAAAAATGCGTTTTGCAACGAATTCAATTACATATTTCGCCGCTTTGTCGCTTTATTTTGATACTAAAACAGTGTGTTGAACTTAATTATCGATTTTGTTTACAATTTGGTTATATTTTATACATTCAAACCACATTTTATGGCATAATAATTGATTAATATGTTGCTAGCGTTGCGATAATATAATGATAAGATATAAGCCATATTTCCTCGCAAAACAAGGTTCTACTATTAGAATTTTACACCTAATACTGGCTTCTTCAATTTAACTAGTTAGTTCAGTTATTTTTTTATATACTTCCATTCATTGTCTTTAAATAATCTAATCCTTTCTGCCAATAACACCTTTTAAGAATATTTACGTATTTATATATTTCTTAATCTTTACTAGGCTATTCTGTTGTGATAGATATTTTGTTTATGAAAAATGAATTCCAAGCAAGGTTTCTTATATTAATATGTTTAATTTTCTCACAATAAAGCTAAAATCTTAATAACATAAAAAAAGGCTGTAAATAAATTAGGTAGGCACTGTGAAAGTGTTTAAACTGTTGATAGGGGGAGAATGAGGAAACTATATTCCTTTGGAACTATAGCTCCCTGCTTGCTTTTATTTCTGGTTGAATGTCTCTTTTTCCAGTTATTTTTACATGCTATTCAAAGTTTTCCAGAGTTTTATCCCCTCTCTGTAATGTTGTAGGTACTGCAAATATTGCAAAGCATTTAGATATTTATTTATAAACAGGCAAAGTCCAATTACAATTGGTGTAAACATTTAAAAAATCATAAATATAGAGAAATGACAAATAAAAAATAATTATGAGAGTATAACTAAGACAGAATATACAAATTTTTGCATAGCACAATCGCACAAGTTAAAAAAAACAGCTATCACAGCTTAAGACTTAAGGAACATCTTTTATGAAGCTAAAAAGTCAATCTCACAGTATTAATGAGCTGATCTAATGACAAAAGATGCTGTGAAGACCATAATTAGTATACCTAACGAATGAGAAAGTTGAAGCTATTAGGAGATCTTGTTTCTCTGGAGGAAGCATGAATATCAATGTTATGCAATACTTTCAGAGCAGCAACTCTACCATGTAAAATATTATAAAAAATCAAAAGGTTTTGATATATCATAATTGGTGACATATTAAGAAAAGTTAAGAACTGAGTCAAAAAACCTGAGTGTTCAACTACTTAGTTCAAGAAAATTAATGTGGATATTATAAAATGGTTGGTATACAAGGGAGGAGAAAGTCTACATAGACAAATACACAAACTAATAACACCTATATAGAATGAAGAGAAAATACCAACAAAATGGCACAAAAATGTAACAATCCCCATCCATAAAAAGGGAGACAAAACCAAGTGCTCTAATTATAGAGGCATCTCCCTACTTATACAGCATACAAAAACTTATCGAATGTCCTATTAAGTAGGCTGACACCGTTTGTAGAAAATTTCATGGGGAATACCAAGACGGCTTCAGAAAACATAGATCAACCATAGATCAGATCTTTACTCTAAGATAGCTGCTTGAAAAAGGATGGGAATTCAATAGAACTATCCATAATCTTTTCATAGATTTCCAGCAAATATACAACAGCATTAAAAGTTATCAGATGTGGAATGCAATGGCAGAACTTTCAGTTCCAAAACAACTTATCCATAGTACAGATAGGTAACAAACTCTCAGAATCTTTCGAAATAAGCAGTGGCCGGAAACAAGAAGATGCACTGTCCCCTCTCCTTTTTAATATCATCCTGGAGAAAGTAGTAAGAGCAGCACAACTTAAAACAGAATTACTGACAGTAATGGACCAAAATTACTACTAGCATACGCAGATGACAGAGGTAGAGGCAAAGAAAACTGGTTTGGGGACAAACGAAGAGAAAACCAAATACATGTGCATCAACAGACAAAAAGGATGAGATAGAATAAGGGCAAAATGTTATAATAGACACATATAACTTTGAAAGAGTGGAGAGTTTTAAATATCTCAGAACAGAAAGGAAGAATTCAGGCAGCAAACAGATGTATGTACAGCCTCCACAATACTGTTAAATCTAAAAGCCTATCACGAACATTAAAGATTAGAATATATAAAACATCATACATTTAGGTGCTCATGTATGGGTGTGAGACGTGGACTGTGACCAAAGAAACTGAAAGAAATCTTAGATGTTTTGAGAGGAAAATCCTCAGACAAATCTTTGGGCATTATCACGACATTAATAGCAACCAATGCCAAATGAGAACAAATTCTGAGGTCAAGCAGATGTATGGAGCAAGCGACATAGTCCAAGAGATTAAATCCCAAGATCTAAGATGGCCATGTTCATAGACTTCCTAATAACCGCCTTGCCAAGTTAATATGGGATGATGCTCCCACATGAAGAAGGTCCTTAGGATGTCCACAAATGCGATGGAGAGACAATATATGGTCAGATCTAAGAACACTGGGGCTACCCGCTGACCGAACTATTATGGACCACTGTTCAAGATGGAAGCAAGTAGTGCAATCAGCCAAGACCCACCCCGGGTTGTAGTACTACGAGAAGAAGAAGAAGATGTAAAAAGCATTTTCTCAGTGAGGATGAACAAGAGCACAATAGAATGTTTTGGAAGCAGATAAATTGGCAGTTTTTTAGTGAAATTCAGCATCAACAAAACCTTGTTGACAGCATTATTCAAGTGTTGTGAAAACTGGAGAATTATATCCAAAGTGACACCCAGATCCTTGACATGGGAAATGTTTTTAGGATGTCAGTACTTGATCATGTACTGAAAATTAATGGAATTTTTGGATTTGAAGAAAGTCATGGCTTTACATTTCTTTGGATTTAGATCCATTCCATTATTTAAGCACCAATCTTGTGAGCTCTGTAATTCATATTGAAGTTTGTCACAATTTTCAGTAGACCTAACATAGCTCAATTTAAAGTTATCAGTAGAGAGCAGTTAGTGATTGTTAGAAAACTCTTATATATATCATAAATAAATATGTTAAGGAGAACTGGCCCAAGAATTATGCCAATATTACATGTCTGTGGTTTTTCAAAATAAATAAAAAATTTTAGCAGACAAGGTAAGACCCACAAATTGGTATAAAATAGTCTAATCTATCAATAGATAACATAAAAACTCATTGTGCCCAAGACTGAGTAGTGCATAAAAGTCCTTCCCCCTTTTTAAATTTAATGTTTGTTTCGTCCCTTCTAAGTGTTTTCTGTTTTAGTGTGTTTAAATTGTCCTTAATTGTTTTAACTTTAATATTTTATATACTCGACTTTGCAATAATCTACCATTTTGCCAATAGAACTGTATCAAAGAAATTTGATAATTACAAGTTGAAAGAATTGCACACCCACACAATTTGTACATCTACGCTTATTCATTGTCATAAAACTGTCACCTTTATAAATCAAATACTCAATAAATAACACACATTTCATAAATATATCTCTCGAATAAGTATAAATAACTTTTAAATAATACAATGGTATATAACATCACTTTCATCTAACAAACAATCACACACCTATCTCTACTTCATTGCATCAAATCTATCTCCTCAAGAACTTCCCGTTTACTGTCAAACAACTACAACAGCAGACTTAAGTTCTCCATTCAACAATACATGATAGTTTCAACCATGTTCTACCATCCATCAATTAATAGAGTACCGGCATCATTTATTTAACTTTGTATCGAGACCTGAAGATGCTTTGCATATTGTAGAAAGCGAAACCGGTCGTCTGAATGGTTAAATCAAATTGATTGTGAGTAAGTCTTATTTATTATTTCTTTACCTATTAGTCTGAATTTCTTTTAACGCAAATATTTGTTATGTCGTCGACCTATTACTTCTGAATCCTGCCTGATATTCGCCTAATATCTTTTCCGTGATTTGATTCAGCTTTTTTCTTATCATGTTTGTCAATATTTTGTACACGACTTCTAGCAACGCGATACCTCCATAATTTTCACATCTCATTTTGTCACCTCTTTTTATGTAAAGGGCATATCCTTGCCCTGGCCCATTCTCCTGGCATTATTTCTGTATCCCATATACTTTTTATCAGGCTGTCTTTTCCTCCTACCTTTATCACTTCAGCTGATATTTCTGTTATTCCTGGGCTTTTATTGCTTTTTAGTCCTCTTATTGCATTTTCTATTTCTTCCCGTGTAGGTGTTTCTATTACTATATGATCATCTTCAATTTCCTGGATTGTTCCCATTTCTTCTTCGTTTTTGTTTAGAAGTTGTATAAAGTAAGTTTGCCAATTTCTCATTTCCCCAAGTTCATTTATTAATATTCCTTCCTCATTTTTCATATATGGGTTATGTTTCTGATATCCCCTTTCCATTTTTCTTGTTTCCTGGTAAAAGGATCTTATTTCCTTTTTTTGGAATATTTCCTCTATCACTTTGAGTTTTTCTTCGTTGTTTTCTTTTTTTATTTCTGCATATTCTCTTCATAATTCTCCTCAATTCTCTATATTCTTGTGTACTATTATTTCTTAAGTTTTTTATTCTTATTTTTATAATTTCTTCTACTATTTTTTGACATTCCTCATCATACCACTCTTTTGCTTTTTGTTTTGTATTGCCTTTAATTAATTTTTCTTAACTGGTGTTTAAAACTGCTTCTTTTATGCTTTCCCACTCTTCATCCGGGTTTAATGTTTCTGGTTCTTCGTTTAGTCCGCTGGTTATTCGTTGTTCGTACTTCATCTGTGTCGTATTATCTTTAAGTACTGCCGTGTTGAATTGTTTTTTGATTTGTCCCTTTGATTGGCTTTCTTTATATTAGCATTCATTTTATAACCTGCTCTTACCAAAAAGTGATCTGAGTCACATTATGTTCCCCTCATGCTTTTAATATTCATTATATTATGGGCGTGCTTCTTCTCTATTAATATTTTTTCCCAATTATACAGTGATATTTGTTGTTTATGTTGTCTAGATTTTCCCGCCGGTATTCTGGTATTCAGTATATAGTTAAAAACGTACATTTATATCCTTACTACCAGTATACTGACCAGGTTTAGTAAACCAAAAAAAAAATGTTTAAATATCTATATACTAATCCATGTGTCCGAGTTTTATTCCAATATTTCTGTTTTTACCAAAAACCCATATCCGTTGCTGAGGAACGTCTAGTACCAATAGGTTAGGTGCGAACGTATTAACCTATGTGTTTATTAGTTTCACGCTTTTCAAACCCAAATGGCTTATACAGTTTTTATATGTAGCTATTTTATTTTTAACATTTATTTGGTTTTAGTTTTTAGACTTTTGCTAAGATGAAAGTAGTAGCATTAGTTAGTGGTGGCAAGGATAGCACATTCAATATGATGCAGTGCATCGCTGCCGGCCACCAAATAGTTGCCTTAGCTAACTTGGTACCTCATAGTAAAACCGAGATCGATAGTTATATGTATCAATCTGTAGGTCACGAAGCTATTGATCTAATTGCAGCTGCCATGGATCTACCTCTGTATAAAAGAGATACCATGGGTAAGTAAATAATTTTAGTATTTGTAATATGTGATGTTATGAGAGTGATTATTTAGATTTTTATAAATTTTGTCAAGATTGTGTATACAGTGTGCCAATTTTAAAACTTACAATAGGCTATATCTCACGAACAAAAGCTGATACATATCGAAAAATGCTTGAAACTGTTTCTAGGGTAGTAGGGGGAAGTAAAATGACATGAAAGAAAACTCACCCCTAGGCGTCACCCACCACAACCAAAAAAGTTTAAATGGCAAACCCCTACTTGTGATACGTCATTGAAAAGACTATAAAAAATGCTCTTCAACTGTAAAAATAATAATTATACCTACAGGGTGAAGCAATAATTGTGAAACTTTGGCTTAAATGCAAAATTTAATGAAGTTTTTGTTGATTCTGTTGATGACCCTGTACAATTATTGTTTAATAATAATATGTATAATTATTGTTTAATAATTATACATGGTGTTAATATCAGCCGACTTACTATGACTTTTGTATTTGTAATGCTATAATATTTCAAATGTCATTAGTTTTCATCATTTGTACGATCGGTACTGTCATTCAGCTGTAGTTGTCAGGATGGTTTACAGTATATTTGAACGCGTGGAGATTATTGCCCCGGGATATAGGGTCCATACAGCTACTATGGGATTGTGATGGACCCAATGTCAGCACCTGGATAAGTTTTAACTGATTTGATGCAGTTTCTAAATCGATTTTTTATTAGAATGAAGTCGATTTGGTTTCTAATAATTTTGTCCTCTGATTCTGCATTTGACTTCCAGGTGTAGAGTCTTCTCGATGGTAGTTTAAAGTGAGTATTCGATATAATGAAATCGTGTTCTTGACAGAACTGGAGAAGTCGATCTCCACGTTCGTTTCTGTTTCCCAAGCCATAATCCCCCACAATGTTCAAACGGCGTCCTTTGCCGACTTTAGCGTTAAAATCTCCTAGGACTAGGGTATTTTCTGCTGCTTTGACAAGATCTAGAGCATCAACATCTTTCTAAAAAACTTCTATTTATCTTCATCACTGGATGATGTTGGGGCATAGACCTGAATTACATTGGTAATGAACGGCTTTGAACTAAATTTCATTAGCATTACTCTGTCAGATATGGGGATATAAGTTAATATTAGTAATAATATAATTTTTAACTATGGATTTTTAATTTTTTTATTTAAGTTTTTTTATACGATCCTCTATAATATTGATTTATACACTTTTTCCACTATCCTTCAGATACTTCCACTAAATTTAGTAATTGAAACATTTTGAATTCCTCTTCTTTTTTAGGTATTTCAAATGAACGTGGAAAAACTTACGAACCATCGGAAAACGATGAGGTTGAGGATTTGTATTTGCTACTTGAAGAAGTCAAAAAGCATGTTAATATCGAAGCTGTGTCCGTCGGTGCCATTTTATCCGATTACCAAAGAATAAGAGTGGAAAATGTGTAAGTATATTTCATTTTTTATGGAAGTGTACCCTTTAATCATCAAACACAAGTTTAAAAGATCGTCTTTGGAAAATGTTGAAGGAATTCATTTGAAATTTGAAGGAAGTTTATAAGCCATTGATTAATTTTCCCGTCCTGTCTAATTATCAAGTTTTTTTACAATTTTTTAAATGTTTAAACCATAGGCAAATATTAAACAAAATAGGCCACATTTACTGAATAAAATTGTATATTCCATAATATTTTAGGTGTATAAGACTGGGTCTTCTACCGTTGGCCTATTTGTGGCAGAGAAACCAACAAGAGTTGCTGGACGAAATGATCAAATGCGAAGTAGATGCTATAATTATTAAAGTTGCAACATTAGGATTAGAAACCAAACACTTGGGTAGATCTCTTAGCTTACTACAGCCTCACCTTCTAGCCATGCACGAAAAATACGGACTAAATGTGTGTGGCGAAGGTGGAGAATACGAAACTTTGACTGTGGATTGTCCGTTGTTTAAAAGTAGAATAGTGATGTAGGTATATTCTTTCATTAAACCTTTTTTTTAAGATTATTGTCTATAGATATTTTCTTATTTGCAGTGAGGAATCAGAACTTGTGATTCATTCAAACGACCCCATAGCGCCTGTAGGTTATCTAGTATTTAAGAAAATGTCACTTGAGCTGAAACTACCTGCTTTGGACCTTCAAAGTCGCTTAGAAGGTTTGCCTTTAAAAGACAGCGATGGATATGTTACCGATCAAGAAGAAGAAGAGTTCAAACCTATCGATAATGATGCAGGTAATATGTAACCAAATACATTGCCGTCTTTTGAAGTAGATAATTAAAATTATTGAAAATAAAATAAGTGTTTTTTGCAAAGTATTTAGTGCTTACTTATATCTTTTATTTTTTTTACTTTTAAAAATTTTAGCATATAACCTTATTTAATTGCTTATTTCATTGTTTGTTAATATATTTTAATTGTTTACGTTAAAATTGGCGCCTGTTCCTGTTTCTATGAGCTGTATGGTTTTAAAGTCTTATCAGTAGGGTGCTAACCTGAAGACCCCTCCTCCTTTATTCGGGCTTGTGACCGGCAACAGTTCTGTCGAGCTACTCGATCCACACAACAAAACTGCAGGGGAGAGCAAACAAATACTTTGAAATACAATACTTTGAAAACCTGAAGAGCAGAAAAACGGCAGGTAAAGACGGGATACCAAACGAATTACTGAAATATTGTGGAGCAGCAATAACAGAACAATTCACAACATTAATTAATAAAATTATAAAACACAATAAAATAAAGGGAGAATGGAGAACGAGCGATCTAATCCTATTATTCAAAAAAGGAGATAAAAACAGCCAGAAAACTATAGAGGTATAAAACTTGTTAAATACTACCCTAAAACTTACAACTCAAATTTTACAAGTACTAATAAATCGGAGAATAAGTTTAGCAGATGAACAATAGGGTTTTCGTAGTGGAAGATCGTGTACAGATGTAATACTAAAAATATGCAATGCTAAAACTATAACACACATCTATTGCTGTTATACTAGAGTCTTTAATTGTTTAGAAATGAATTGAGCCCTTCAAATGTTTATTACCTTTACAGATGACGAAACGGTCCTAAATTCTGGCTCCACCGAGTGCAGCAGTTACTCATCCGAGGAATTTCTACAAGAAGTGTCTTCCGTCTACAACCGAGAAGGTTGGTTGTTGATAGGCGGCGTCCAAGGAACTTCGAGTAATGCGTTCGAAGCTATGGCGGAGGCGATGAGTATCTTAAAGTGTAGGTATGCATAGATACGGCACATTTTTTATTTTCAAACGCTTTATATCTAACTTAGTTTTGTTTATAGTTTTTCATCTGCGCATTATATAATTATAACTACATTTACAAAAGTTTTGCACAGTGCCATCTAGCTAAAGTTACTCCACTAAGTAAATATGATTTTCGTAAATTTTAACATGGCAAACAACATTGGCAGATTAAAAATTCTCGTGTAGGTTAGCTGCAATAAATTTTCAAAACAATCAATTTGAAAAATTGCAAATGATGATTTTATACGATTTTGTGAGTTATTTTTCATGCAGTTTTTAATTTAAACCTGTTTAGAGTAAATATATGATGACTAGAAACGAATTGTTCGAGATTAGTGAATCGATGTGAAGAACCGCTATCTTGTGTGTATAGAGAAAAAAGAAATACAACGCCAGTATAGAAGCTTCGCTTCAAAAACTCTTTTTAAGATATCCAAGGTGTGCTGGGTTGGGTTACACCGTCATTAAGATTATTTAATTTGTTCCCAAATTAAACTATCTTGGTGAGTTGGTCCGCCGAACCAGATATCACCAACCAGAAAGCCTTATCTGTCACAAGTGCTGTGTATTTATCCAACAAAAATAGTCTGGCCGACAAAAAAGTACAAGATCTGCCCCACGTTGGGTGCCAAAATACTGACACAAACTTTCTGCTAAAGAGTGTGTCCTCATCTAGTTTGTGTTTACCAAATTTTATTTGTTTCTTCGTAATTAAGTCTTTAAACATTTTTCTCCTATTTTTGTAACATTTCATGTATACTATTTTTGTTTGTGAATCCAGTATATAATAAAACATCATATACCGCTATATTTTTCAGCTGAACTGTTGAAGCATGATCATACGATAAGGGACGTATGTTCTGTTACTATGTACATCGGAGATATGTCGGAGTACGCGGCACTAAACAAATTGTATGTGGATACATTTAGCTTTACAAATCCACCGAGCCGAGCCTGTGTCCAAGTTCCTTTTAACGAGAACAATCCCGTGAGATTGGAAGCCATATCTTGGAAGTCGCCTGTTAAAAATGTTGGAGACACAAAAATTGAAAGGTAAGAAGGATCTTTGATTGCATTAAGATGCAAACAGTTTGACCAATTATTGGATAACAATTAACTCGCTAAGTAAATTAAATCATGTATGCTCTTGTAAAGTAAAAAATCCACTATTTGGAAGAGATTTCATCGTTTAAACACCGAATATCCTCAAATTTAAATGTACACTGCGGCCGTCAAAAACTACCCGTTTCATTTGCGTTTTCTCATAAGAAATCACACAATGTATAACTAGTACATTTGTTTGTGCTTCTCTATAGCAGACTTAATCACGAGCTGCCGTACAATTAGCCGATTCTTGTTCACAAGTAGTAGTTATGGTTATACAAACCTGAATTCTTCGATTCTTCGATTATTACCGTCATAAAAACACCAAAAAAAATAGTAGTTTTTTCAATAGTAAAAAATTAAGCACAAAATTATACTGAAATAAATTTTATTTACATGTTTCGTTACATCTTTAAGTATATAAAATAAAAATCGATATTTTACGTTTTATTCCCATTCTGTTTCAAAAACTTGGCAAGTTGGGATTTGGAAAGCATCGCAGCGGTAACACCTCCGCCTGTGCCGAAGCAAGAAACGTTTATTTACATAGGCGGTGCTGGTGGGAATGCTTGAGTTTCATTTTATGATTATATTTTGTGCAATTGAAGGTTGTGATGATAAACCTAGTGGTATTGGAGTTTGTCCGTTTATAGCGAATTTTTAGTTATATTCCATGATTATTGAAATACAATGGATGAACAACTAAGTTGTTCCTAGAGAAGATAACAAAATTCGGATGTTGATTCTAAAAATGAAAAGCCGCAAAAGAGACGGAAAATTTTATCTTCAGAAGAGAAGGTATTGATACGATATGAAGGAAGCATGAAAAATGGCATCAAATGTTAGCCAAGCGGTCGACATTTGTAGCAGTTTAACCAAAGTATCCGTTAGCTGTATTTATCGTGTGCTCAAAAATATACTGTAAAAAAAGCAAGAAAAAGCTAAAACTAGAGGTAAAAATTCCAACACTGAAAAAGAGCTTGAAAACAATTACTTCTTACCCAAGATATCTCGTAGAGTATTAATCAGAACTATACGCGAAATGATATTTCGATATGTAAAACGCAACAGAAGACGTATGTTATTAAAAAAAGAAATTAGTGTGTGGTGAAGAAAATATTTAAAAGAAATACGCAAAATTCGCAGCATTTGACGGAAAATATATTATTTGGATGAAACCTGGATTAACGAAACTCATACAGTCGGAAAAGTTTGGTAAGATTTAAATTTTAAAAATAAACGCGAAGCATATAGAAGGCTGATGTATAGGATTAAAAGCTCTATGAATAAAGGGACGACGTTTAATCATTACCCATATAGGAAGTGATACAGGGTTCCTTGATGATGGTTTGCTTCAATTTGTCAAGAGAAACAGGAGATTATCATGAAGAAATAACTTCCAAGGTATTTGAGCGCTGATTTAAGAGAATCTTAACAAAGTTTTTTTAAAAGTTTATAATAACTGAATAACACACAGAGTTAGTTTTTACCAGTGTCGGTGTATATAATATTAAAATTTTTTTATATTACAAAATTTATTGCTTGTTTTATTTTTTTTTCTTTCAGGCAAACTATGCATGTCCAGAGCAGGTCTCATTGGGCTCCATCAAATATCGGACCATACAGTCAAAGTGTACGGGTGAAGAACTTCGTTCATTTAGGTAACATGCGTTTAGAAAATAAGTTTTTAAGGCGAAAATTAATATAAAACAGTAAATTCTTAACTAATTCTTGCTTTACTTTAGTTTTTACAACTAGTTTATATGAAATTTTTTAATTGTAACTATACCTTTTAGCTGGACAGATCGGATTAGTACCAGGTAGCTTGGAGATGGTAAAAGGTGGTATAAAAACTGAATGCCGGTTGGTTTTAAGACATTTGAAAAGACTGTTGATGGCTGTGGACCCTAAATTTAGTTTAAGAAATGTAGTGCAGGTTAGTTAATTCAAATAATTTTTGGTACTAAACAAAACAAATAGGACTAATTTTTGTTTTATGTATTACACACGCGAAATAGTTGTTCAACAAATAAGTTAATCTAAATATTCATTCAAATTAAATTTTAAGTTAAACACATGCTGGGTATTTATCAAGCAAACAACCCTTCATCTTCAATACTGTTTTAAATTAGAATACACACTTCTTTCAACTTTGAGGTCAATTTCCGGTAGTTATTGACGTTCAAACTCGTGCTGCTACTTGCTGACTGCAATAGTACCAACTTACCGTAATATAGTTGCTCACTCCTTTCACTTCTCACTTAAAAAAATGGCAAAACGTTAATTGAAATCGTAACGACAAAAAAATATATTCACACACCTCTAAATATGTAGATTCATATAAATATACTTCTAAAACCATTTCGAATAAATCCATATCTACATACACCTCTAAAACCATTTCGAATATAGCAATAAATATTTACTCAAACTTCCTTTATGTGTAAATGTTACTCATGGTATTTTTTAGGGTATATGTTATTTAACGGATGCGTCTTACGTTGGACCAGCTAGAAAATTATGGGAAGAGAGTACTAATAACGCTATAGTTGACTACGTTGTTGTAACCGGCTTGCCGAGGAATGCAGCTGTAGAATGGCACGTCTGGGCACACAAATATAACAACCAGTTCGATTGTAAGTGTTTATTATTCTTATGTTTCAACATCTTATTATCCTTTATATTATTTTGAAGACATAAATTAAAGAAATAGGGTTAATATTTGAAAAATCCTGTCCTTTGTTAGATTTCTTCACTTAAATATATTTTTACTTGGCATACCGTTAATGTAATCCACAAAAAAGGATGACTACTTTTGCAGAAAACAAAAAACCGTTTCACTATTGATCTTTTATTATTTTAAAAATCATTTTTACATAATTTTGCCATGCGTTCCAAGAGCACAATGGTGTTGTATTTCGAGATTGGAAAACGCGGTAGTCCCAGCACAAATCTCACCTTATGATAAACCAGCAGTTGTGCTGCGGCTGTCAGGTGATTTGCCGATTAAGCATGGTCTGGCTATAGAATCGATAAATCTACAGTCAATGACTCAGCTGCTCTCCCTTTGTCATATTCTGAGTTAATCCGCTGTTTTTTCTTCTCTTCTTAGAGTGCCGTCTTCCTACGGAGGTTGGCAATCGTAATGGCTGTTTTTATTTTAGAAGTTATGTCTGTTTTTTAGTTATATCTTATTCACATTGGTTTTATACATCCGTCGCATCAGGCATGAAAACTTCACACTCAGTCTGTCCTGTACGGAGTCTTAGTCAGTTTAAGTACCTGCGCATACCTCAGATCGACACGGAAAAAGATTTTTTGTCATTGTTTTTTATCACAACAAATTCATTAGGACGTTGAAAGAATTCAACATAATATCGGTTGGTTCTTAGAAAGCGGCAGAAACTGTGTACCATTTTACCTTCACATTTTTAATATCCTACGGAAATTACAATTAGATGATAATGCCTTACATTTGAGGCCCTTTTGTAACCATTTGAAGGAACCGATATTTTTCTGCTATAATTTTTCATTTCAATGCTCTAAACTTTTTCTTTAAGTGTGGCTGTTTGAATACTTGTATTGTGGCTGTTTGAATACGACAATGTAATGACAAAGTGTTCTAAAAATTTTGATCGCTAGTAGAGTTAAACATAATGGCTGATGTTATTCCCAGCTTTAGTTGAAGTCTTCTTAAAATACAGTATACTCTCTCTATAACGGACACGGTTATTACGAGGTTTCGCTTATAACGAGGTACATTAGATGTCCCGTGAAATTTCTATTGAACTATAACCCTCTATAGCGAGGTAAATTTGTTCATTACGAGAGAAAATAAGATCGAGAAACTTGTTTTACGTTTTAGGAAATTTACAATTTATGATTCACAAGTGTCATTGTAGAGGGTTGACCATTCACACCTAATAATATAGGTCCTAATACACAAGATGTGGAAAGTGTTTTAAAGGTTGTCAGAAACTTTATACAAATACAAAACGCAAATGAAGAAGCCAAAAAAAATGTTTCACATCTTTAGAAAATATGATAGCTAGAATACTGGACAATTTAAAGCAGTCAAAAATGACAGACTTCTTCCAATTGCAGAAGCAGTAGTTTGTTATTCTTGAAAATACGCTTTATACAGATTTACAGAATACAGATTTTTTGTTTTAACATATATCATTGATAATAAAAGTAAACAACTCTTTTTTGTTTTAATGTATTTCATTGACAATAAAAAAAGTAAACAACTTTTTTTCAAAAACGCCATTCAAACAATATTTATTAGCATCTTATATTGCTCCGAATGGCTTCACTATAGAAAGTTAATGTTTTAGAAAACTAGTCTGCCATTTCAGTTCTCGTTATAGAGGGAGTCTACTGTATAATTTCTAGGTATTTTAAATTGGTTCTCTAAATTCCATAATATTATTTTTAGATGAAGAGAGAGGCAAGTGTGTAGACAACTTTTCGATATCCATTTACAGACGTTGGAATTACGAAAACGACCTATCTACCATCCTGTGTCGAGTAAGTCACCAGGAAGATGAAGCTACCCTAGAACTTCCTATATTTACCGAAGCCATCGAGTACACTCTTCAGAAGCTTCAACAAGGATTCGACGGTCAAAACTCTGTCATAAGCTTGAAGATTTTTTACTCTGTAACGAAAAACATAGATCCTAATTTTATCCTACAATATTTTGACAATTTTACAAAAGACCTTAGTTTAAGCTATACACTTGTACCTGTCGTATCTCTTAAAAGCAAACAAACGTTTTTGTCAATTTGCGGTATAAGGATGCAGTAAGTATCTTGATAGTAGTGAACAAACATTAAACATGTCATCAGTTGTAAGACGTAGAACAAAATTTAAGACCCAACAAACGGCAAGTAATGGATACTTCATAATTTTTTCCAAATGTTTTGATCTGATGTTTTTTTTTGCATAGGCATTTGCCATTCAGTCAGTCACAACTTTTTTAAGTTATTCCCAAAGGAAAGAAGAGAAAATAATTATCACAATGCATATTTGGTTATCAGTAAAGGAACAAACACGGTTACTCGCTTCTCGCCTAGGGACCCATCACGACAAACATAAACTAGACTGGGTCACGGACCCAGTAGGTTTATAATAAATGAGATAAAACAAAGGTTACTATTTTAACTGGACTTACAAATTTAGGGTACTTTTCGAAGTAATTCTAAGTAATTATATTATAATGATTTTATTAGTCCTAATTTATTGTCTTTATTCTAATTTATTAAAACTCGCGATAATTTATCAAAAGTCTTTATTTTATACTAATTTATTTTACACTTAATAATTACAAATAATTTATTTGCGTTCGAACAATTTAACGCGAGATCGCGATCTTCTTGTTGACTCCTTTCTCAATGAGAATCGCCGTTATTTATTTGAAACGCCGTTATCTGGAAGGATCTGGCGTGAAGTAGACGAAAGTTGACCTGAATAGGTTCGAACCTGTTTCCAGAAAGATCGAGTAGTAGTTGACCGCTTTCATATCGAAGGGGGACCCATAGTGTAGGTAGGTTTTTTACCTGCGTCTCGGCCGGTTCGTGATCTAGAAAATACGTGATTAGTCATAATGTATTTACAGTTTTTATACGTCATAATATATTCATTATTTATATCGTAACAATATACAATTTTGTTGTTGAAGGATTTTTTGTTTGATTAAATTTTTATTAGGTCATCAGTTTGTTGTATATATTTTGTACGTTTAAAGAAAATTTAGTTTAAATCTGCTTCTCTTTTACAAACTTCACATTAATTGGAATTTACAATTTTAAGTTTTGCCAGGTGGGTCGGATAACATGCGTGTCCTGATTTCATTTTGATAATTGATGTAATATATCTACGTGGAACAGAGTAATTTTTAAACTAAAATTCACTCAGGATTGTGGGTTGTATGAGTGCATATTGTGAGTTAGAGTGTTGACTATATTCATAATATTCTTGTTCCCACTGATTGTTTACAATATTCTTGATTGTTACAAATACATCTGGTATGCAGAGGTTATAATCTGTTTTCGCACCAGAATCAATGGCTTTCTTAGCTAATATATCTACATACTCATTATGCTCAAGCCCTATGTGAGCTTTAATCCACAAAAATCTAACTGTTCTTTGTTCCTGATGCAATTCAAAAATTTTTTTTTTATTAAAAGGATGTAAATATTTGTGCTTTTGTTAGGAAAACATCGTCGAGCGAAAATACAAAAGAGGGAATATAAAGGTAGTGGGGGCAAAAAATTGTTAGACAGGAAGTGCCATCTTGAGAGACCAAATTTAGTTGGGTTATGTTATTGCTGATGTTATTGTTTGTCCCAACTGTCACATGAAAGATTATTTGTATTTTTTATTGAAGTTTTTTAACAATTTACACATTTTAGACTATTATCGTTATTGTTTAATTAAAACTTTATTGTGTTCTAGTGTTAAAAAAAGTATTGTAAGTGTATTATGTATTAATATTAATATTATGTAATATAAAATAAACAAATAGATAAATTAGAACCCCTACACCACTGTATGAAGATTGTGAAGTGTCATGAAATTTAAATTTAGCGCATTCGCATTTCCGGATATGTCCGCCATCAGAGGCCACTTTTTTGGTCTCCTTTTCATAACGATGAGATTCCCTCTTTTGTCTTTTTGCTCGACGGAAAAGATATAGTCTCAATGGCTATAAGAACCGACAAAAAATCAGAAGCAATTATTGCGGAGTTGTCATTGGAATTCTTAAAATAATTTAATGCTTCATAGCTTCAAAAATTATGATCTAGAGTAAACATGTTTTCTATAATTTTTGAAGGAATATAAAAAGCGCATCCAGTGCTAAGAGAAGACTTTGATGCGTCTGTATAAATAGCTGTTATACCAGCTGTTATTATCCCAGGATATACTTAGCTGCTGAACCATACATAACACATCCATAATCTATGATCGATCTTATGTACGAGTTTCTGCATCGGCTCCCCACCAAGTTTTAGAAATTGCTTTAAGGAAATGTAATCCCTTATTACATCTATTTAATATGAAGTCAATGTGTAACTTCCAAGTTAATTTGCGGTCAAGAATCATCCCTAAGTATTTAATTGAAGAACATAAATTATATTCTTGACTGTTCATTGTTAACTTGTTCATTTTTGGGAGATTATGCCTCGTGAAAATACATATACTAGATTTACTTGATGCTATTTCGAACCCATTTTCTTTAAAGTAGCTATTGGAGAAATCGTCCATTTTTCCCAAAATTTGTATGCACTTATCGTATGTTTTGGAAGATGAGTACAACGGTGAAATGTAATATCCTTTTGTTGGATTCAGTAATAGGTTTAACATTACTAATCTTACTAAAGAAACTGTTTGCGTCAATTTCTTGAAGTACTTGATGGGTGGGATTGTTTTAGTTCTGACATCTTTTGTTTTGTCATTTTCGTGGCCTCCTAAAATAAGATCTGTTGTTTCTTCGTCTATGCACAATTATTTCGTTTTATCTTCTCTGATTATTGCCAATTCTGATTTTTTGTATTCCACTTTTAGTTTCCTAATGTATTTTAGTCGTCCTTATTCGATGCTAAGATAATCGGGTCATCCAAAAATAATAATCTGTAATTTTATATTAACTAGTAGTATATCCATACGATGACAGTTTTGCTTCTTGTTTGAGGGTATTATTTACATAAAACCTTGTGGCTATTTTTTTACATATCTGTGATAGCTTTTATTAATTATTTTCATTTGTTTTTTCAATGGCTCCCAACTTTATTTTCAATTATTTTTAAAAATACAGCAATTAAGTATACTGATAAATAAAACTCATAAATTGTTTGTGAAGTTTGATGACTTTACTTGCCGTTTGAAATCTTAGAGTTTAAAATATTTTTGTAGTAAATTGATTTCTATACATTTAAAGGAGACAATGCTCCTCTGCTGAACAATATCGATTCTACATAAAGATTGTTACGTTTTTATTTTTTGACAGGTTTGTTTTACCTTCCCGTTGTCTCCCATATTCACCATTTTTTTATGTATATGAATATTTTTGTTAAAGTCTACTGTTATATTTTAAATATAAAATGTATGAGGATTTGTTTGTTATTTGTAATACGTATGATGATAATAGATAAGGTCGTCAGATTAGATATGCAGAAATGACGCAGCAAAAATGGTAGTTGAAACATAATCTCAAAAATACCTTGGCCTATCACAGTCGAAGTATTTTGCTGCTTGTGAGAAAATCATAAACAATGAAAAAAGAAATAGAAAGCAAGAAAGGATATGAACGTACGTCCACTTTAAAAAAATCCAAGTAGAAAATTTAAAATAAGTATATTTGATAATATGGATCAACTTTATTTTAGAATGCCTAAATGAGTGGGTTCATACAAAATATTCTGCTGGTGAAATCGAAGCATTGATAATCTAATTTACATGAGGATGAAATATCAGAATATTTAAGAGAAACCGGTAACAGTAGCTTTGCGGAAAAATTATAACTTGGATAATGCATAAGTTTCGTAGATTAGCCATTATGCTGCAAAGTCAATGATAGTAGGCTAGTATTTCTATCAATATTATACACATAAAAATCTTCGTGTTTTGAGTGCCCCACGTTGGGCACCAATGTATAACAATTAACCACTCATCAGAAACGGTAAACAATAAAGCAGTCTCTCAGGTGTGAGAACATCTTATCTTAAATGCAAATCTGAACAATCAGCTTGGCTAGTTCAAATAAAATAGGATATTCACCTTATATAATAAAATAGGATATTCACATTAAAATGAAATTTTAATATTACATCAAAGCATACCTAGAGCCGTACAAAAATTTAAAAATGATGCGTATGGCTTAATGAAGTTGACTGGATAGTAGACTTCAGATGTTGGTTGGATAGATTGTAGCTAAATGAGTAGATTTCAAGTTGATGAAGATGCCGGAGATCGAACCCGTTGTAATTTCAGGGGGTTTTTTAAGAAGCTATTAAATTTTGCATGATATGCTATGTTGCTGCAGTTGCTATCTCATGTGTGGTACACCACGAGGCGTCAAAATGTTCCACCCAACAAAAACAAGAAAAAATTGTTTCGTTCAGGATCCTATCGATTTTTTGGTGTGGCTCTTAAGACGATTGATCTGGCCCACACCTATTGGTGAGGATATTATTTCTGACTGACATTTTCTAACTTATTTTGACATAGTGGTATCTGCATCATTACGAAAAAATCAAAAATGTTTTTAGTGGAGAATCAAAAACAATTCAAAATGAATTAATTGAGTGCATAACAGTCCATTTTTTCCCCTCCAAATTGATGATACTACTGACATAACGCAGATGTCGCAGTCTTCAATAATATTAAGATGCGTAAATTCTCAAGGACTATTAATTGAAAAGTTAATGGGATTTTACGATGTAAGTGCCGGTAGAACAGCTGAGAGCATTTGTTCAGTATGGCTGTGACAGTTTTAGAGCCTTTGGAATACCGACATAAGCTTGTAGGACAGTGTTACGATGGAGCCAGTGTGATGTCAGTGCACTTAAATGGACTTCAAAACAAATTAAATCACATGCCCCACAAACAATTTTTGTGCATTATCTAGCCCATCGACGTAATCTTGTTTTGCAACAGAGCTTTAAGAAAATATCAAAATGTCGATTTTTTTTTGCAACTATTACCGGAATCCCATCGTTTTTTCATAGTTCGGCAAAACCTATTTCTACAGTTCTATCTAATACTACTTTTTTTGTTTAAGTATCTCTTCGCCCTCGGTTCCAGTATCATCACCATCATCATTCCGCAACCTCTTGCATCCAATTTTGGATATAGGTCTCCTCCATATTCTTCCATTGCTCTCTTGTGACATCTGTATCGAATTTCCCACTGTTTTTCTTAAGCCATCCATCCATCTTTTTGGTAGTTTACCTCGGTGTCTTTTATCTTCTCTAGGTCTCCATTCTATGAGTCTTTTGGTCCACCTATTATCATTTAAACGTGCTACATGTCCAGCCCATCTCCACTAGGCTTGTGCAATTTTTTCTATGACATCTGTCACTTTAGTCCTCTCTCTCTGTCATCCCGTGAGAGGTTGTTGGACCCAGGTAGCGGATAGGGGAATGCCTTCTAGATATAGGTGGTAGCGGGGAAATGAAATACTCGGGGCGCACCAAAACCAGTAAACACTGCAGTGTCATCCAGAGTGATCGGCTGCAGTGAGCATCTGAGCTAGAGTGGGCGGCTGAATCAAAACTCAACAAACCCGTTTTACCAGGCATGGTGTTTTAATGGCCAAAAAACTCTCAATGAAATGTCGAAGGTTCAGAACTAAACTACTCCAGGCAAGCAGAACGAATCGTATCTAGTAGAAGTGCCCTAAAAAACTGTTTTCAAGTTATTAGAGCCCTAAACTATACATTTTTTAACGAATTTTTAATGAGATTTGGGCGCGACGTAGGTACCAAAACTTCTTTTAGCTCCAGCAAGGTTTCCTAGTCTTCACCACTTTTTTAGGCCACGAGCCGCCGCTGTTCTTATTACTCTGGGTTTTGTTTCGTTGCCACATTTTCCTTTTTT